GAGCTGCTTCACAGTACACAGTGGCAACACAACAGTTTTCAAGACAGGGCGGCAGGGGGTGAAAAGGGAGGGGCAAGAGTACTGTAAGGTGCATCGATGTATGTGTGTGTGTGTGTGTGTGCGTGCGTGTGTGTGCGTGTGTGTGTGTGTGTGTGTGTGTGTGTGCGTGTGTGTGTGTGCGCGCGCGTGTGCGTGAGAGAGAGAGCAAAGAAAATTGGAATAAATTTGTTTCAGAATTCATTGTCTCTTTTTCATCCGGCAGCTCTCTCCATGAGCAGCAAATTCATGCTCCAATGACACTGCCTTATTATATCTTTCAGATCTATCGTAAAAGTGAGCTTGAACTAGTTGCTTATGTCACGCACGCACACACACATGCCATGATGAGCAACAGCCGTAACGGCCCCTAACATGAACGAAACAGAAAAATAGATACGAGTTTGTGAAAAAGAAATATTTGCCTACCATGGGAAAGACCTGATGAGGAGGCATACGATACACTTTTGCAGTGTGTTAAGTGTAGAAACTACCGTACGTACATGTGGCGTTTTAAAATGCTTCTCCTGGCACTCCCGATTCCCATTCTTTGCCAGTGCCAGTTGTTGAATTGCAGATGAAACAAACTTTGAATGAGAATTTAATTAAAAATTTGAATGAGAATTTAATTAAAAAAAAAAAAAAGAGATCCCAACAATCACCCAAAACTGTATATTTTCTTCTTTCTGAAAAAAGACAGCAGCACCACAACCTTCAGTCGAAAAAGACGCTGCAGCAAAGCGGAGTGAGGATGATGAGGCAAAGTCAGAGAAACTGCGAAAAAGGCTTGAGTCACAATGTGTCCAATCTCGTATTGACTATTAAAGTTATTATTTTACAACATGGGTGTCAAAGTTAAGGCCCAGGGGCCAGATCTGGCCCGCCACATCATTTTATGTGGGCCGCGAAAGCAAATCAATCATGTCAAGTTCCACGATGCTTGCTAAAGTCCAAAATGTGGAATTGTCATATGTAATCCACAATAACCGTCATTATTCTTGACTTCTGATTTTAAAGATAGTTATTCATCAATTTGTTGTGCGCTGTGAGTGTAATATGTGGAGGGGATTATTTCCATGGTTTCCCAAAATTCGTAACGGCCCTCCAAGGGAAACCGGAACTACAGTGTGGCCTGCGACAAAAATGAGTTTGACACCTCTGTTTTACAGTATGTCTCAAAACTATCATAGTTATTTGTCAGAAAACGTTTCGATTTTTAGAGATTAGAAAAAAAACTAAAAATTCAATAGTACAGTATTGTAACCTGGACACGATGTCATGTTGCCGAAAAATGAAGAAATGAAAATTCTCTCACCCAATACTCTGCATTTATGCTGCATTCAGTTCATATCAAGTTAAAATCATCTTGATTCCAAAGCGTTGTGGGCTAACATTCATGAGCTGCCTACAGTCATTTTCTCTTGATATTGAATTCATCGCACAGGGATTTATTCTGAGACCAACATTCTGCAATTTCGAAGCGTTCTTCTTTTGCTTCAGTGGTGTCTGAGCTTTTTCACACTTCTGTCACTGGAAGTAACGATGTTAAAAATGTCAGTAGATACCGTACTATTCCTGCCAATAACAATAATATAAGCTGTTGCCTGTCAAGCAGAGAGCCAAGGCTGCAGAATACTCATTTAGATCCGCATCGTCCCATGTGTGCAAAATTGTCATTTCGTTTGGTGTTTCCAAAAGGCTTTTCGTCACGGGAATAATTCGAAACCGACAAAAGTAATCACAAATGAAAACTGAACAATTAACAAATGAAAACTGACCAAAATTAATGTGAGGGTAATCTTATCTTCTGAGGCAATCAAATTATTTCCAGAAGCCGCAATGAGACTTTGTGCACCTTTATGAACAATTATTTTGGCCCACTCCCAATGAACAAACTGCTCCAGCTGTCTCTGGATTTAAGAGCTCCTTCCACAGATGTTCAAGAGGATTTAGATCAGGTTTCATCGGGAGCGTTTCAGAATTATCCAATGTTCTTGGAGATTCTTGTTGAGAGCCAAGACCATCCAAGACCAAGTTTTCTGACGCCGGGCAACATTTTACACTCCAAATGCCTTTGAGTGATGAAAGTGTTTTTTTTTCTTTCTATGAATGGAAGGGTACCATGATTTTATCTATATAAAATGCACACCTTTTGACGTACTTAAATCAATCATATGCTCGAGTTACTCAATTAAGATTTAGATTCGGTGTTCACTATCAAATCGTGTCTGATGTGTGTTAACAAAAGCGGTTTGTGGATCTGCAAGTCATTCCGGACCAGTTCTTCCTTGGCTCATGCCATGCAGGAAGTACCGAAAAGGAAGCGTAAATAACTCACCGGGGCAACAAAATCACCCAGTCGTTCCTTAATCCATCTTTAATGATTGAGGAGCACGTTTTTGCTCGTAAGAAGTGAATCTGACACAGGTTTTCAGCATCGGTGCCATCTTTCTTGATTAAATGAACCATTTCTCCCTTCCTTGCATGAGCGCCTCTTGCAGTGTTGTTTCCAGCAGCGTTGACACAGGAGTTGGAGCTCAAAGTGTTGCTGAACGGAACGCGGCTCTCGAATCCCGACCTTATTAAAATCCACTTTTTTGGTGGTCAGCAGAAAAAGCTAAGCAGTACTTTGTCAGTACTTGTATGAATGACTTTGGTCCCGCCCCCAGCTATGCTGCCTTTTGCAGTTTTGGCCTGCGAGCCTAGCGCTGCTTTAAGATCAAAACTATTTATCTGTCATCTGTATTGCAGTGTTTAGTAGGCAAAAGGGCACCTGGGAAATATCAGAAAATGTCACTTTTTTCACCAGTGACCGGACCTTTTTTTTTCGGGGTGGGTGGAAACTCACAAAATAACTTCAACTTCACTTTATCTCAAAGAATTTGACATTATTCCTGCTCCTCGGTCCTGTCTTTATGTTTCCTAGTACGTTTGGGTCCTCCACAGTCCACCACGGCAACGTGACCACGACAAATCATCTGCAAATGATCTTCGGTGACAGAATGTAATCATATGACAGTATACTTCCAGTTTTGTTTTTTTTTTTCAAGAAGTTCAACTTCAATGTGATGCAGATCCACCACACTGAGCGTAAAACTTTACGGTCAAATGTGAAGTAAGCGCTATGCGATTGTGTAACTCACCTCATTGGCGAAAAAAAGCGAGTCTGAGTGATTTGCTTCTTGTTGTAGAAGCACCAAGCGTTGTCCGGGACTTTGGCAGCTTTCTAAAGATTCAATGCTCTTTCCAGCTCAGCAAAGAGTGCCCAGTCCTCACTCTGAGACGCAATCCTCTAATTACAAACAGTCGAGTTTGGTGCCAGAATGCTCTGGCACTCTTCATGCTAATCAGTGTAAGCGCCCACACTTTGGCCTTTGTAGCATCACGCAGATGCTACAAAGTATTAGCTACAAAGTCCTGATAGTTTGGATGCTGTTCAGAAACTTGAGTCTCTGTGAGGAGGAAAACACATCTTTGCTGCCAGCCAAGTGTGGATGTTATTGCGAAGTGTTAGTGTGTCTGTTCCCTCGTGCTCACATCTCTGCAACAGTTGAAACCGTTGCACATGAAGCACAGTTTCACCTCTTGATGCTGCAAGAAGGAAGAGAAATAACATGTAACCACCATTTTCAACCATCAGTGGGCCACAGAATCATAAACAATCATTGAATTAAAAAAAAAACAAAACATAATCCAAAGTGAAAACTTTTCACATTTATCTTTGCCTCTACAATGATGTAAAGCGTAACAGTCGTAATATTTGACTTTCATTTTATGTCACTTGACACATAAAGAATAAAGTGGACATTTGTGGTGTTCGTAAATATTTCTGACAAGCAGAACGTGCGTTTGTCATGCGCCAATGACGTGTTGAGATCTATCATAGACGTCGCCGTCAAATGATGCGTGAAGCAATCATCTCATTTCCCCAAAACATTTCTACCTCCTTCCGACTCACTCCTCTGTTATTCTCCCTGTTCCTCGATTTAATTTGTGGTGGGAGGCACTAGCATCAAAACAGAGGAGCGAGGACCTAGGAAGTTGCAATTATAGAAATGAGATGAGCCCTTAGGCTCTTCAATGAACCTTGCATGCAGGTTTTTGCAATGCGGGAGGAAGCACAACTGCCCGGAGAAAACCAACACGAGCACTCGATCACTATGTCACCCATGATGATCCACATTCAAATTTAATTTTTGATCAACATGGCCCAGCAAATGGACTGTGCCCTAAAATTTTCTGCTCAGCCAAAATGACACTGCCAGCGACTGGCCTGGAACCAAGCCACATCCACTCCTGGTTTTTCAATTTTCTCAAGCTTGGCATTTGCCTTTTAATAAACACCTTGTGTTGAAATCATAAGCAACTTATTCTTCACAATTTATGGTCAACCATCATTTCATACACATACCGTATCAACGGTATATGTCAAACATCCAAAGCCAAAGATTCTCAGTGTTCATCAAACCATTGTGATATGGAGATTTTTTTTTTCAAGATGGTAAACCCTTTCCGGTATGCTAAATAACTCAGTGAATATGACCCAGCGGTCCGTGATGAAAATAGTTGTAAACGTTCTGTATGTGGTCATTGTCAAATAAGAAAAAATTGTCCTGGCTGCGTCATGCCGTCTGGCAGTCAAGGATGTACACTTTTTAACACTGCACTTGAGTCTTGAGTGATTTATGGCACTCAGATGCATCACACGCCTCATTACCTCACACAGATTGGCCTCAGTCAGCTGTTACTGTCAGCGCGAGAACATTTTAGACGCCGAAAAATCAAATGTCGCTTTTATAAACAGTAACACGCTGCCTTTGTTTAGTTTCTTACTGTGTGGCCCACCAAGGCTTTTGTGTGCCTGCTGTTTTGCATGCACTAGAGCGTTGCAGCCGGCCACCGAGCCAATAAACCAGCAAGCCACCGACTTTGCTCACCTTTTCTCTTTTCTCTCCAACCGACAGTGGAGGAGCCGGCTTGCTTCTGCGGGCTAATGGTTTATGCTCTCCTCTCCAAGGCTGAAATGAACGGGAATGTTGTTTACCCCCAGCGCAGCGGGCCGTCGCCAAGACCAACAGATAAAAACAGACACAATCTCCACGATGGGATTCAGGTAATTTTCTCCAAGGGTTACACAAGATGGGGGTAAAATAATCTCATTTCATCATTCAGATGAAAAAATCCTTTATTTCGCACGGGCAAAATAAAACCTCACCGAGTGTGACAGCATCAAAATAGATTCGGATAGAATTCAGGGCACGTTGTGTCGTTGTTGAAGAGATACGAGGTTGAAATCAAGTGTCAATAAATCAACACCTTGCCTTGTTAAATTAGCCAACAGAAAATGTAACGTCATTGGATTATTAAAATAGGGGCATTGTGACATTTTGACTATTTTATTTCTCTTCTAGTTTACACAATGTTGGACTCTAACATACCGGTATTTAAATATGGTAACCACAGTGGGTATGAAAAATCAACATCCCCTTTTTTTTTTTTTTTTTTTTAATGCCAGGCTTGTGTGATCCAAAAAATGAGACCAAGATTTTTTCTTTTTTTTTTTTTTAATGCCAGGCTTGTGTGTTCCAAAAAATGAGACCAAGATTTTTCATTTCAATGAAACTGAATTTCTAGAAGTAAAAATATGAACATGACCTTACTCAACAAACATCAACAATATGTTTAGTGCTCATCAGAGGCACTTGAAATGACCGCAAACAACTTCCAGTGAAGCAGGTCACGCGCCACCATAGGTTAAAGGTGACCTGCTTTTTTAATTTAATTTAATTTTTAAAACTATTTGTTGACAGTAAAACTGATAGGATGCTTAGGGTGCAGTGTACACTAACACAAAAATATACAAAATTAATTACACAAACGCAGACACACATCTCCCCCCCATTGCCCTCAACATCTTTTGCGATCGAGTTGGGACCAGTCCGCGGGCTGCTAGTGGGGACCGGTCCGCGGGCTGCTGGTCCAATGGTTGGGCCCCCCTTGCTATATATTGTGCCAGGCTGGTTGACTCTATCACACAAAAGCATCTGTCAGGAAAAGAATGAAGAATAAATTTGAGGTCATGAATTGGAGCTGTCTCATACAGAGCTGGTAAATCCAAGTCCAGAAAGTCTCACTTGATATTATACACCAACTGGGGCATTTTCAGGAAGACGGGTGATGTCTGTGTTGATGGATTTAATGCCTTTCAGCGTCAGTTAGGCACTACATTCACGAAAAGGGGCCCGGTATACCTCTGAGAGTTCACCACTGTTCTGAATAGTGACAATCAATTTGAAGTGGGAGTTCTATTCACAGGCATTCACAAGACTGAATCACATTTCAAAGGTCAAAGGTGGTCTGTCGGACCCCAGAGTCAGCCGTACGATGCGGCAGGTTCAAGAGTTCAGATCACTGTACCTGTAGTTCTGTTAAAATTCTGTTCGCTTGATGAGGAAGGTTTGAACGTGGCTCACACATCAACAGCATGTTTTGGCAAGGTCAAGTGGTTCTTATTACTTCCACCAAGGAGATTATCGTCAATATGATTTATTTGTGTGCGGTTTTGGCAGTTTTACATATATTAACTCGGACTGAAAGATTGATTGTGTTTGCGATAATGTAGAAAAGTGACATTGTAATTTTCTAATCTTAACGTATGTGATTACAAGGTGGGCCCGTTTTAGTTTGTCGGATCTTTGGAGAAACTGAGGCTTTTACATCGGCGGGTCTCAAATGTTTTGCACCTCGAAAAATACTTGACACTCCAACTACTATATTAAATTAAAATACAGTAGCATAGTAGGCCCAAGGGTTCATTAAATATGTGACAGAGGTTTTATCCTTAAAAAGTAAACTTAACATATTAGTAAATGTACTGTGCTGGATTAATAAAAAATTTAAGCAACTGCAACATTATGCGCAGTTTAACATGAAGTACCTTTCAGTACTTCAGTTTCGGAAACGCTGCTCCACGTTGTTCATTTTTGACCATCTCAGATGAAAGATGCACAATTGTAGGAGAGGGGGAAAAAAACTTGACGGTGGTAACTGTCAAAGTGAAAGAAAGTGGGGCAGAGATCTTGTGACAGACATCATGCTTTGGCAGATAATTTGAGAAACCATCTGACAGCGTTTGCCTTTTGCTTACAATCCAATGGCAGGGAGCGAACCAAGCAATAGGAAGACACCACGAAATGATGTGAATATCAGTCACAGAAACTATCACCAGTGCCAAACAGATGAGAGGAAAAAAATGGAATCTTTCTATTTGGCACCCAAATAGAGGCGCACTGTGGTTTTCTTAACTGATTAATTAATTATCACATGATTCGGCTTCATCTTGTTTCTCGTTTTTCATGGTGACATCCAATTCCCCCCGCGACGTGATCTGATCTGCCGAGCGCACGGGGACCGTGCAGCTGGTCGGACGGGCTCCGCCGCCCGCCGGTCGGCCCGCGTCGCGCTCCCCCCCTCCCCATCCATCCGCCCCCTCATTACATGTTATGTCTTGTGACTTGTAACTGTCATATGCTTCTATATGTGCAGGGCTTTTTTTTTATCCTGGACTCAAATTATCCTCAGAAGAGTATAGTTTGAGCATGTTTTTTTTTTCCCTCTCCCTCCCTTGTGGTTTCCTTTCTGAACTCTGACTGTAAATTTCCCCAGTGTGGGACAAATAAAGGATATCTTAATCTTAAAGCTTTTCCCAAGTCAAACACGTGACCAGTTGCCTGTTTCTAATTTCATTTTTGAAACCCCATAGTGAGGCTTGCTTTAAACGGCATCATGCAGGCTAAAATTGCTAAGAGGAGGTACATTTGTATCTACTGTGATTTCTTCTGGATGCAATGTAAAAGAGATGTTAACCTTTAAGACCTCTTTCTACTCCAACGACCGCATTGCATCATGTGACCGACGCGTCGTGCCGAGCACACGTCAGAAGTTGTTACTGCCCTTAGAACGCAGCGCGCATTCTCTCTTGTGATTGGTCCATTTAGTCACATGTTGCTGTGATGTGGTACTCGGCTTTTCCCGGCTAGGTTTCTCGATACACAAGGCCTATGTCAGGGTATTTTGTCACCGCGGAGGAGAGTGGTTCGTTGCTGCTGCTGCGAAGCAAGCTATCTTGAACTTCATGAAAACTGCTGCACTTACCAAAGTAAAGTTCATTCATTTATCCTCACAAGGGTCGCGGG